TGCTTAGAGAGAGTATTTTGTGCTAGCTTTGAGTGTTTGGTACATCTTTTGAAGAGAAAGAAAGGATTTCAAGCCAAGGGACGAGAAGGAGCTGTTAGATCCGTGGTTATTTCTTGCTAGAGCTTCTAGGAACGATATAAATATTGCACCTTTCTCATTTTGTTGAGTAAATGTCATGATTTTGGGAGTTTAGGGCTTTTTCCATCTAATATGAGGACCTTGAGTGTTTATAGAGGTTTGGACTTCTGATCTGGACCATGTAAGGTCCCTAGAGTCTAAAAGTCCCTGCTTTATTTAGCCATAATAATGCTCTTGAGTGAAAAACCCTTATTAAAGTATGTTTTTGGCATTTCAAGCCCTATGTGCCATGCATGGACGTAAAGATTGTGGATTTACATGATAAACTAGTCTTAAGAATGTAGATCTAGAGTTTGGGAGGGTTTCTGCCTTGAAATCGTCTGAATGAGAGAAGATTCTGAATGGACTGGCCGAGTCGAGGAGCCGACTCGACGAGTCGGTTAGGGTTTGTCCCGATGAGTTGGTCATACTATAGCTCAGCGAGTTAGTTTTACTTGACGAGCTGGACTTTCGCGAAGAATTCTAAGGGGCGAATGCACTCAACGAGTCACATGAGCACACTCTGCGAGTCAGGCCAAACTTGGACTATGGACTCGAGTTTGACTTTTATTGACTTTAGGGTTGGTCAACATGATTAATGATGACCATGGAGGGGAAAATGGTCTTTTACCCATTCTAAGAATTTAAGAGAAAGAGAAAACAACCTTGGTGTAATTAAGTATGAATAGAGTATGAAGTAGAGATGGTTATCCTATGTATTAGGCGGAGGCTAGTTCGAGATTTCCGAGCACGAGACTTGTACTTACTAGCTTATGAGGTGAGTCTTCTCACTATACTTACCATGAGTGGTATCCTTGTGTGACTGAGATGTCTTATGTGCTTATTTGTGTTATTGTGCTACTTTGAATGTTGTTCTTGTGATTTATTCTTATTGTTGTGAACTGATTGAGTAAGGGCCGGAGGGTCCTCCCGAGTAGTAGGATCGGAGGGTCTCCACTAGAACACATTGAACAGAGGGTCATATTGAGTTAGCCTCGAGTGGCCAGTGCGATATGTGCGGTATTTTGGGGAACTCACTAAGCTTTGTGCTTACTGTGTTATGTGCTTTGTGTTTCAGGTACGTCTACGGATCTCGGGAAGGTGGCGACCTGATTGTACACACATCAACGATTAAGTTATGATTTAGAGGATCCTGGAGTTTTGAAATATGAACAATTTTGATATGGGATTTGATGATTTGAGATTGTGACATTTTGTATTTATTGAGACAAATGTTTTATTTTAAATTGAAAAAATTGGTTAGAAATTTCACGTTGTTACAAAATGCCTCATGATATATGGACGGGGAAAGTTCCCTCGTTAGCACATATCAATGTCTGGGGTTGTGAAGCTTTCATTAAACGAGAGACTCATAACAAGCTAGAACCATGATGTGAGAGATTTTTTTTATTGGTTACCGACATAAGTCTTTGGATATTTGTTATACAAACCTAGTGAGAACGTGGTCTTTGTAGCACGAAGAGGAGTCTTTCGCGAGAAAGAGCTCATATGCAACGAGGACAGTGAGAGTACCATTGACCTTGAAGAAATTCAAGTGTCAACTAATGAAGGAACCTTAGAAGATACTAGCGCTCAACTAGAGGATGGGACTCCTATTGAACCTGTTGACAAATCACTACATGTTCGTCGATCTAGTAGAGCTAGCATGCCACCAACGCTCTATGGTTTCCATAATGGTGACATGTTTATCAGTGATGGTACACTAGAAAATTTAGATGAGCCACCTAACTACAAGGAAGTGACAGAAGGCCATGAAGCAGCTAAGTGGAAAGAGGCAATGGACAGCGAGATGAAGTCCATGTATGATAATCAACTTTGGAATTTGGTTGATCAAGAACCTGGTCGAATGAAAGTTGGTTGCAAATAGATCATCAAGAAGAAGACCAACATGGATGGAAAGGCACACACTTTCAAGAAATGGCTGGTTGCGAAGGTCTTTACTCAAACCTCAGGGATTCACTATGATGAGACCTTTTGACCAGTGGCCAATATAAAGTCTATTAGGATAATGCTCGCCATAGATGGCTTTCATGATTATGAAATATTGAAGATGTATTTCAAAACCATTTTCCTTAATGACAAGTTGGTTGAAGATGTTTATATGAGTCATCCATAGGGTTTTATAGATGAAAACTTTCCTAATAGAGTGTGTAAGCTTGAGAAAGCCATTTATTGATTGAAACAAACATCTTGTAGTTGGAATCTTTGCTTCTATGAGAAGGTCAAAGAGTTTGGTTTTTCTAAGAGTGAAGATGAGTCATGAGTGTATGTCAAGGATATTAGGAGTAGAGTAACGTTTCTAGTATTGTATGTTGATGACATACTCTTTATAGGATCTGACATTCCAACCTTGTAAAAAGTAATGTCTTGGCTTGGAAAGTTTTTTTCTATGAAGGATCTAGGAGAGGTGGCCTATATTCTTGGGATAAGAATCTTAAGGAATATAAAGGAAAAACTAATTGGTCTTAGTCAAGGTGCATACTTGGATAAGGTACTAAAATGTTTTTGTATGGAAAATTCCACCAAATAAGAGATACCCATTTAGAGTAATGTCAAATTGAGTAAGATTCAAATCCCTAGTATAAATGAAGATATAGAGGAGATGAGTCGAGTCCCGTATGCACCGAATGTAGGATTGATCATGTATGCTATGACATGTCAAGTTGGGTAAGATTCAAATCCCTGATGTGTCTTTTGCTTTAAGCATGGCCAGTCACTTTCCGAAAATCTTGGCAAAGCTCATTAGACAGCAGTGGAGAACATTCTCAAGTATCTATGAAGGATAAAGGATCTTATTCTTGTCCTTGGTAGCAGTGATACTTTAAGAGTAAGTGGGTATAGTGATGCTAACTTTAAAACAAATAGAGAAAATCTTCATTCTTAATTAGGCTAGGTTTTTTATAAAATGGAGGATCAATCACTTGGAAAAGTTTCAATAAGGACACGATGGATGATTCTACTTGTGAATCAGAGTACGTAGCAATGAGTGAAGTATCAAAGGAAGCGGCTTGAATAAAAAATTTAATCGGCAATATTGGGGTAGTTCCGACCATTTAGGAGCCAATAGAACTTTTCTACGATAATGAAGGAGCAGTTTTTTGACTAAAGAACCGAGAGATCATGGTAAATTAATAAATATCAACAAAAATACCATTATATTAGAAATACATTTGAAGAAGGTCATATCATAGTTAAGAGAGTTTTATCAGAATATAATCCTGTAGATCCTCTCACAAAGGCTCTAAGTAGGATTAAACATAGTCGACATGCTAGGAGCATTGGTTTGAGAGATGATATTAGTTTTAGTAGTTAGATGATTTGTTTGAAACTTGTATTAGAATAAATATAATTGATTTTGGTGATTGAATAATAGAGATTATTTATGAGTATATTTACTACCTTTGTCAATTATTTATTCTTTTGTTTCGTTTTGCATGTTTTACTTCTAAATAATTTGATTATTCAAAGATCCACAACCGATCGTACTTTAGGAAGTAAGCAGTTAATAAAAACTATCATGAATTGGATTATAGACTGTTTAAGGAGTTTGTACAGGGAAAATGTTTGCTATAACATTCATGAGTACTTAGAAAATGGAGATTTTGAGTATTAGAAAAACCCGGGCTTAGAGAATTACTTCATGGATTCTATCACGAGTTATTATGAGATGAGACTATGTTATATACATAAAATGGAGATATATGAGTTGTAATTTATAAATCAGTTGTATATTGGTGTTACGAAACGCATCAGTAACTTGGTGTTATAATACTCAGTGTTATATATGATTTGGTGAGTAAAGGATATAAGCATATGAGTCAAATTTAATTCGTTTATTTTCCCCTAAAGGGAAAAAAGATATCTTTGGGCTCCTCGGTGATTTGGTATTGAGTTATAGTGTTGGGTCCAACCATGCCTAAATTAATGTGTTCAATTAGAAGTGTATGAAGTCATCACAAATCAGGAAATCGAGAAACAAAATTTTAGACAATTAGATTGATTCTAATCCATGTCTCATGTTCATACGATATCTTGTAGAATGAAGGAATATTTGATCACTTATCTTAGGACCAATGACTGATCAGATTAAAGATTGGAGTTGCTTTTGGAAGCACCCTTGCTGATAATTTTAGAAGTTATATTGGCAATTGTAGTTGTAGACTTATCAAAGTGGGAGACTGTTGGATTAGGTGTTTAAGCCAATAACAAAATTGGTATATACTTGAAATATTAACAAAGTCCTTTCAGGTTGTCCTCAACCCTCGTAATTTAATAGGATGACTTTTAGAGAGAGTGAGAGTGAGTGATTTAGCTAGTATACACTTAATAAATAGCAATAAATGAATTTATTAGTATGTTATGAGAATAATATATTAAATAGAAATAGTATTATTTAATTAAGAATTAATCATAAATTAATTTGAATTGATTTTAGGAATAATTAGATTAATTAAAAGTGCAAGGACTTAAGCTGTAATTCTTCAATAGTTGAACAAGAAAGGGATTCTAGAATATTCGTAGGATGGCAAAAAATTATAGGATTCCTTAGGGTTATCTAGGGTTTTCCTATCAGTTACAAATAAGGACCATTAGCCTCTAAATTTTAGCCTTTTGATTAGCCAAGATCATAGCTGAAATTTCCCTTCTCCTCTTCTCTCTTCAAGTCTCCTTAGGTGCTAAGGTTTGGGTGTGAACCGTCAGAGACACAAGATTTATGGTGCTAGCTACCAAGACTTTATCAAGAAGGATTGCTTATTACAACAATTAAAAGGTATGTAATCCCTAACTTGTTTATGATTTTTGAAAATAGATAGGAGTTATAGGGTTCTTCTTGTTCAATAGAATGTTACTTCAATCGTGTTATGATTAGATCTAATAGGTTGCATGCACCCTTACGTGTATAAGGATTTATCGCAGTTATTGCATGTAAAACCCAACAATCTTAGGCAGGATACGAGAGAGATATGGAGGATGTATGGAACTAGGTGTCATATCCTTACCAAGAAGAAGACAAAGTGGTACCGGACACACTTGAGGAAGAGAGAAATTATGATCCGACAATTCCCCTACCATCTATCCCAGTATCAACTGATGTTGAGTTGTTTGAAGACGAAGAAGAGACCATCAAGGAGGAGGAGCAACATGAAAAGGAGTTCAGTGGAGTACCTATAGTTAGTTCACCCTACTCGGATTCATCTTCCCACCAGGATCGTGAGGAGACTCACGAGGAGGACCCTATTAATTCGGAGTCATCTCCAGTGATTGTTGCTCCACTTCCCCCGTCTTCAAGCCAATCTATTAGTATTCATGCTTTGGGACTCAGGACTATAACTACCCCTAGAAAGTTTGTTCCCATTCCAACCTACAAGAGAGCAACTTCACTGCCCTCATCATCGAGATTATAAAAAAGCCTTTCCCCACCGACAAATGGACTCCATAGGTGAACAAGTGGATTGAGCAGGAGGGTATTGGGTTTATGAGGTTAGAGAGTACTCCCAGGCACGATCCTATTCCAACGGATTCCATGGATAGAGCGGTCTCAGTGTTAGTCCCGCAAGTAACACAACATGATGATCATATACACCATGTCGAGTTAGAGATTTAGAGCAGGGGAAAGATATAGATGCGATTAGGATCCTCCATGCATACTATCATATGGAGAAGAACCATTCTCTAATGCAGTATCAACAGATTGTGATCGAGGGTCTAGAGCAACGTGTCAGGGAGTCGGAGTTGAGATTGATGGTGTCAAAGATAAGTGTAACCACCATGGAGGTTATGACCAGTTTCCTTCAGCACCAGTTAGCAAATATAGTGGCTTAGATGGTAGTTTGTTTTGGTTTGTGGTAGATAGTTCTAGCCAAGGAAAGCTAGTAACTATGATTTTTAGGTTTGAGGGAGAGAAAAGCAGTGTAGATGATAAGAGGATATTATTATGTCTTTTGCTTGTAAAATAGATGTTTTTCCTGCTCAAACCACATCATTGTACACTTTTTGGGAAATTTTATGTAAAAATTTATGGAAGTTAATTAAAATTTTGTGATCTCGTTGTAAATTATGTTACTTGTTTGATTCGTTTTCTTGATATAGTTAACCATCTTAGCTAAATTATCAAAGCAAAACTCAAAATCTATCATAACAACTAACACATGTTACAAATTTAGAATCATGCCTCGCACCAGGAGAAACCTAGGACAACTTAAACATAATCCTGAACCTATGAGCTCAGACGTGATTAAGGCATTAGTAGCCCAACGCATCATTGATGCAATAGCAAATCTAGAAACCCCAATTAATGTAGGACCAGGGGGCAATGGAGGTGAGAATTTGCAAGGAGATAAATAAGGTCCAACTAGGGTCTGTTCATATAAAGACTTTAACTATAAACCAAAACCCTTCCACGGAAACAAAGGCGTAGTTGGTTTCACTAGGTGGATAGAAAAGACGGAGTTTGTTTTTGAGATAAGTTGTTGTTCAGAGGACTTCAAGGTTAAGTTCGTCACTTGTATCCTGGAAAATGCAACCCTAAGCTGGTGGACCAGTTATACAAAGACCATGGACATTAATGTACCAAATGCCATGTCTTGGAGCAAGCTAAAGCAGCTCATGATTGAGAAGTCCTGCCCACACAAGGAGATGCAGAAGCCGAAGCATGATCTTTGGAATCTCATGATGAAGGAAGTTGACGTTGCCATTTATCCAAGCCGATTCAATGAACTTGCCCCCTTATGTATTGCGATGGTGTAACATCCCGATGATAAGGTAATTTCAATCTCAACCCTATGTTTCGATAATATTGCATTTTGAACCTTGGGTTTGAGGAAGGTTGCTAGACTGGACTACAGTGGCAATATAGTAATTTTGACCAGGATTCGTACGCCGAGCATACGTTGTGTACACTAGGCATACTAGGGTGCACCCTAGTACACTGGCGTACTAGGGCCCTAGTACACTAGGCGTACGCCAAGAAAGTGCAAACCCTAATTTTTAGGGTTTGGTCTATATATAAACCCCATTATAGCCTCTTTTCTCATTACTTCATCAACCTCCTTCTGGGAAAAACGACCCCAAGCAAACCCTAAGTGAGAAGAGTGCATTTTGAGCACATTAGAGTGTTTTGGAGGTGTTCTTAAAGAATAAGAAGGTGGTGAGAAGAGCTTAGATCTTGGAAGCATCTTGGATTTGAGGTTATCTTATTGTTAGCAAACTCCAGGAGGTATAAAGTTCACAACTTGATCACTCCATCTAGTAGATCTAGAGATTTCTTCCATTATGACACCTTTTGTCCCAAATATGGTGATTCTTGAGCATGGCGTGTTCTTGACAAAATAAGACGTCCTTTCAGACCTTAGGAGGGTTCTTAAGTCATAAAAATGAGGTCTTGATGGTTAGTTTTGCTCCATGCATGCTATAGAAGGTCTGAATGCATTAAGATGTTAAGATTTTGGGTTTTAAGCACTTAATATACATGCAAATTCATAAAGTTGGAAACTTTATGACTCTTGAGGGTATTTTGGCTTTGGACATGACTTTACACATGAAGATTTGGAGTATTAAGATCTTAATGGGGAAAGGGTTGAATTGACACGTACGCTGGGCGTACCAGGTGGTATGTTGTGACTACACTGTCAGCGTCCTGTAATATGGTCAAGCACCAAGTACGCCCCTTGCATAGAAGAGTACACCTAACGTAATCGGTTGGGTTAACTCGGCTAGGTATTTACTTGACTTCTAACCGTTGACCAAGTTTGACCAAGGGCATTTTGGGGGAAATAATATTAATGGATAATGTTTTGACATTTACGAATTGGGTTGATCCGGTATTTGGGAGCACAATATTGATCAGCTATTCGTCAGATTGTGAGGTGATTTTTTCCTCACTGTACTTACAGGTCGAAGGCACCAAGGCCAACCCATTGGATTGATAACATGTTATACATTGATTTATGATATGCTGAGAATGGGATAAATCTATATGATTATATGATAGTTGTTGATAGGTGTAGTCCGTTAGATCTGTAGGACTACCTATGATTTCTGTATGTATGATTGTCTGTCTGTTGAATATGTTTGTTATCTGTTATATGCCGACATATTGTGTTGGATTGAGGCTTTACTGCTATGCGTATAAGTCAACAGACTGGGGGTATTCCATCCCGATGACTGAGTGGACCTGAGGGTATTCCAGTCTGATGGTATTCCTGTTCGATGACTGATTGGATCTATTGTATATTGGTGTTCCAGTCCGATGATTAATTGAGCCAGGGTAATCCAACTCGATGGCTGTAGATGTAACATCCCAAGTCAAAATCAAGAGTTCAGGGGGTAAAGTCTAAGTTTAGAAAAGAAGGAATTCGCGAGTAGGAGCTTCAACTCGTCGAGTCGAAGTGTGTGACGGGCACATGTTAAGCGACCGGACTCGCCGAGTCGGTGGTTAGATTCGACGAGTCCGTGCTGGAGTGAGAAACCCTAATCCCCAGGGTTTTCACCCTATTTAAGGAGCCTTAAGCCCCCATTTCGGCCCCTTATTACTCCTCTGAGAATCAGAAGCCCGAAAATCATAACTGAGAGCCTTGGGAGCATTTTGGAGCTTAGATAAGTGGATTTAGGAAGGAAATCATGGAGATTTAGAAGCCTGGATCAAGGAGGCTTGAGGAGATTTGGTTTACTCTTCAGTTGCAGGTTGTTTTGAGTGTTTAGTGGTGGAGTTTGTGTTAGTGGACGAAGTAGCGTGATCTTATTTCTTCAGTCAGCAGTTGCAGGTGAGTTATCCACACTATATCAACAGGGTCTAAGGCACCAAGGCCAACCCTTTATCAGATGGGAATCCGGGTAGAGTTTTGTTATGTTATTTCTTTGCTACGTCTGCATCCTGGTAGTTAGGATGGTATATGTTAGAGACATGGTTAAGGTTGGTATCCTGGTATATAGAATGATACTATGTTAGTGACCGGTTAGGTCGGTATCCTGGTTAGGATGTTGCTATGTTATGTGATCTGCTAGATCGATTGATTAGTTGTGGATTGCTATATGATTATATGTTTATGTGCACATGGTTGTTGGACTGGGGTTGGGTTGAGGCGGGTCCAGCTAATTGATGTAGGCCAACATACCCAGGGCGGACCGGTTAGACCGAAGGCCTGACGAGCGGTCCGGATAGGCTGAAGGCCCTAAGAGGGCGAACCAGACGTGCTGAGGCTCAGAGAGTGGACCAGACAGATTGAAGGCCTTGTGCGGACGGACTAGTCATATTGTAGACTCAGAGAGTGGACCAGGTGGACTGAAGGCCCGATGCGGGCGGACCAGTCATACTGTTGACTCGGAGAGAGAGTAGACCGGGTGGACTGAAGGCCTGGTGCAGGCGGACCAGTGACACTGTAGACTCAATATGCATGGTTGTTCTGTTTATGATATGATATGATATGATATGTGTATGGTATTGTGGTTGGTATTTTGGGGGGTAACTCACTAAGCTTTTGGGCTTATAGTTTCAGTGTATTGTTTCAGGTACTTCAGGAGATCGTAGCAAGGCGAAGGCATGATCATACCGCTCCTCAGTTTTATGTTGATGTTTATGGGATACTTTGATAATAAATGAATTGAAAACCTTTTTGTAATAACTTAATGAACATGAGTTGCTTTTGGAAAAGTTTAAATTGGTTGTAAATTTTCATGGTGTTAAAGTAGACCTATGGGTATTCCAGTTTAAGGGTTGATTGGACCCAATATGCTTGCTTGTATATGACATGTGTATTGTGTGGTGGTACTTTGGGGGAACTAACTAAGCATTGGCTTAAATTTTTTGGTTATGGTTTCAGGTACTTCAGAGGCCCATGGCAAGGCGAATGCGTGATCGTACACATCTTGGGTTTTATGTTGTTTATCTCGGGAGACTCTGATTTTAAATAATATTTTTTGAAACAATTGTTTTTTAAACATTTTTGTTAGTAAATGGTTTGTTTTGAAAAGTTTAAATTGGTTGTAATTTTTGAGATGTTACAAGTTGATATTAGAGCCTTGGTTTAAGCGAATTGGAGGAATATCCATGTGAATCCAGTCTCAAACTACGGAACTGCAAAGGTTTTAAAAATGATTTTCAAATTTGTTTTAAAAAAATCAAGAAAGGTTGTAATGTGTACAATCAGTCGGAGCCAGTAAGTAGACCCCATGTTACCTCACTGTTATTTGATATTATGTTATGTTAGAACAACATGCTAGTAATGGGTTAGGGATCTTTAGGAATTTCATGATAGAACTGTCTGATTATATGATGCCTAATAGCGAAGGGTTCATCCTTATATGTAATTGAAACCATTACTGTAGTTACTTAGTGTATAACTCAAAAATTGTATATAACTAAGATTTTATAGCTTGAGATTGCTTGATTTGGCCTTATTTCTTGTTC